CCATGAAAAATGATAGGTTTCATGTGCAACCAAAGCCTTTTTCTTCAGATTGTTGTGTTCTGCATGAAATGACAAAGTATGGTGGGACTTGAACTCTCCGTCCTTACAAGTTTGGCTTAATCCTTTCTGGCCTAAAGACAAGGAGAGCTTCCTGAAATGTCATTATGCTTAGTTATGCCTCAGAGTGCCTCGGGTTTTTCTCTGTTTCTGGACAGAACACATTTTGGAGTAAGCTTTAGAATAGAACTGCCCTGTATTACCATTCCTTCTGCCTTCTCTCTGCCTTGCCTTCTGACCAATGTTATAAAAAAATTCCTGAGCTCTCATTCCTTACAGCACACATCTACTGGCTGTTTTTCCTACTGGTGAAGTAAAAAAGCATGTTCATCCTCTTGAATTAGGAAACCCCACTCTTCCTCCCCCTCAGCTGTGTTTGTGGCATATTTCCTCAACTACTACTGGTGGCAGGAGATGGCCTGTTTAGCTGTGGCAATCCAGCAGTTCCCCTTCTGATCCTTGAACGCAGAATGCTATTTTCTGGGTGTACATCTATCCAACTACAACATACTCTCTTCTTCTTCTTGCAGCTTCTTTTTAGGCTAGAAATCAGATAAAAATATCTAGAAATCAGATAAAAATATCTGGACTTGTTAGTATTGAAATAATCTAGTTTCTAGCTTCTCAACTACCTGCTACCTTGTTTTGGAGATAGATTTGCGAATAACAGTTGGGTTTTAAATGTTCATAAATGATAGATTAGCCATGGTTTATTTCTTCATCCAATAATCCTAGAGACAGTCTTAGTTCATCCAGAAACCTCCAGGTAACCTAGTAAAAGCTAAATTGAGCACCTGTCATCCGGTCTAACGCTGCATCTTAAGGCTGTGTAGCTAAACGTAAATTCCAGGGCTTCAACATTGGCCATCCTTTTTTCACCATGTCCCATTCTCCTCCTTTCCACCCCAAACAATTTTGTCCAATTAAGAGTTCTGGAGAACTTGAAATCTTGCACAATGTTTTATAGTATTATATGCATGTACGCCCTCAGGATGGAAATGAACTGAGACGGTATGAACAGATAAGCATATAGATAATATTTCTATGCATGTACAAGTGTTAATTTTTAACAGTAAAATGCACAAGAGAGGGAACTGAACTCTCCCTTTACTCTTATCTCCCTTCTGTGCAAAAGCACTTTTGTCCTTTCTGATACAGATATGAGCTAGGAAGGAGGAACCATGGTGCCTGTGACAGTAGGAGTTTAGCACTCGTGCTGTTTCTATGGTTGAATTATAAACATATTTTAAAACTGAGGCCTGTACTGCCTCAAGTTGAGAAAGGCTTTATTCCAAAATATTTTGATTATTTTTTAATTCAGCCCTCTCAGGCCCAGGAGTGCTTGGCGAACTCCCCATCTCTTTCTTCCATTTCAGCGGCAAGAAGCCGGAGAGATACATAGAAAGATAGAGGGAGAGGAGAGTCTTCTCTGTGTGGCATTTTAATGAATTAGAGGACAGTCCCTGACGCGCCCAATCCCCGACCTGAGAGAAAAAAGAGTGAGCGAGCAAGCTGTCCCAGCCTGGCCATGAGTTACCTCAGAGGAGACAGCAGTGATGTCAGGCCTCTGTTAGACTTGTAAGTGACTGGTAGCAGGAGCAGGACAGGTTGCTCCCCACTACAGTATATTGTGCCCTTCATACCCACATGCCTTTGTTTCTTTACATTTCTTCCTCCCCACCGCCATCACTCCCCTTGTTATTCCAGAGTATTTCATTCTCTCCCCGTTCTCGCATGTTTCGCCTAATCACATGGCCCCTTTCGTGCTGTGATCCCCTGACCTAATGGCCAGCTTCTGACCCCTGATTGGAAGCAGTCTGTTTGCAGAGGCAAGGTATGGGCTGTTTTGTTCTCTCTTCAGCTTATTTCTGTGTATAAGATGACCCTCAATTTTTAGTCTAAAGATTTTAGACAAAAGTATAGTCTTATACACAGGAAAATACAGTAATATCTATCAATGAATGAATAGTAAAGAAAACCTCTAATACAGTGTTGCCTCGCTTAACAGGTGCCCTGTTTAACGGCGAATCCGCATAATGATGCACATTTTGCGATCGCAAAAGCGATCGCATTGCGATGTTCCCTATGGGGAAAAATCGCTTTGCGATTTTTCCCCATAGGCCCCATTTTCCCCCAGCTGATTGGCGGGTGCTTGGGAAGGACTGCGGGGGAGCCCTCCCCCACGGTCCTTCCCAAGCGCCTGGCCGAAAAAGCCAGGGGGCGCTTGGGAAGGACTGTGGGGGAGCCCTCTTCCTCCGAGGAGGCAGCGGGGGGCGCTCATCCCCAGGCCAGCGGCGAGCTGCACTTCGGCCGGCTCAAGGGAAAGGGCCTTGGCGCGGCCGTGCGCATGGCTCCCTGTTTCCCGGTCCACCTCCTCTTCCTCCGAGTAGGTGGTGGCGGGCGCTCATCCCCAGGCCGGCGGCAAGCGGCGCTTCAGCCGGCTCGCTCCTCCCGGGGCGGGGGCGGCGGGGGAAGGGAAAGGTCCCTGGCACGGCCGTGTGCCTGGCTCCCTGTCTCCCGCTCCACCTCCTCCTCTTCCTCCGAGGCGGCAGAGGCGGGCATTCAT